GCAATGGGCAGCGGCCGCCGCCTCTCAGCCCCAAAGTGGAGACACAGAGTTGCATGCAGCAGCAGCAGCAAAGTTGCGTGATAAGAGACCTCTCAGCGGCGCTCGTGTGGGGGCCCTGCAGCTGCTGCGGCGTCTGTAGAGGGGCCCCAAGCCACCGGGTGTATAGGGAGGTTGCTGTGCTGCTGCAGCAGCAGTTGCTGCTGCTGCTGCTGCTGCTGCTGCAGCGGCTTCTGCTGCGTCTGGAGGCAACTCATACATCTGCTGCAGCAGACCCAACATTTGCTGCTGCTGATGCTGCTGCTGCTGCTGCTGAGATGCAGCGTCAGCAAGCGCCTGCAGAGAAGCAGCAACTGCTGCTGCACGTGCTGCTGCTGCTGCTGCTGCTGCTGCTTCGTGGGGCTTCTGTTCGAGGGTAAAGTAATAACTGTAAGAAGAGGAATTGTCGTCTCCGTGCTGCTGCAGCAGCAGCAGCTGCTGCTGCTGCTGCTGCTGTTGCTGCTGCTGTGGGCTCGCAGCAGCTGCCGGGGAGGAGACAGCAATGGCAGGGCCTAGACAGGATCTCTCTTCCTGCTGCTGCTGCTGCTGCTGCGGCTGCTGCTGCTGCAGCGGGTGAGCAGCAACGTATGTGTCTGGGGGTAGGGGGTAGTTGGAGTGTACGTACAGCTGAAGACGCCACCCATCATCCTGAGACGCAACAGCCTCAATGGTAGATACTTGTATTTGCTGCTGCTGCTGCTGCTGCTGCTGCTGTTGCTGCTGTCGTTGGTGTTTGAGTTCCTGCTGCAGCAGGGGAGTGTGTTGCCGCTGTTGTTTCTGCTGCTGCTGCTGCTGCTGATGTTCGTGCTGCTTCTGCATGCATGTTGCGGGGGAAAGGGTAGGAGTGGCGGCCTGAATGTGCTGCTGCTGCTGCTGCTGCTGCTGCTGCTGCTGCTTGGGTCGGCGTCTTGCTGCTGCAGCTGTACCTGGGGCCCCTAGAGATGCGGGGGGCCCCCCTCGCCTGCCCATAGCTGCTGCCCCCAGGAGGCCTGGGAGCTGCTGCTGCTGCTGCTGCTGCTGCTGCTGCTGTGACGCCAGCAGCAGCAGACACACGAACAGCAGCAGCGCTGCTGCTGTCCTGTGGGGGGTTTTCCCCCGCATGGCGTTTCGAGGTGTTGTTGTTTCTGCTGCTGTCGTTGTTGTTGTTTCTGCTGCTGCTGCTGCTGCTGTTGCTGCTGCTGCTGCTGCTGCAGCAGCAACGGGAGGCGTGCTGCTGGGGTGTGCCGCCTGACCCCCCTTTTTTCTGCAGTCTTTGTTGTATTTAAAATAAAATTAATTAAAACAAAACAAATTAAAAATAATTAAAATAAATAAACAAAGAACTTCTCTCCTTTCTTCTGTCTCTGGGGTGTATAGGCAGCTCCGTCCGTGGCTTATGGGGCCCCCCGCCCGCTGCGGCACCAGCTCTGCGTATTTTATATTTATTTTGTTTTCTTTTTTTATTTATTTTTATTTAATTTAATAAATTAATTAAATTAAATTAATTAATTTATTATTTTTTTATATTTTTTTAGGAATTTGTTGGTGTATCGGCTGCGCTTTGTTTAGCTCTCTCTCCCGCAACCCACCGCTATAATAAATTTATTTTTTTGTTTTTTTTCTTTTTTTATATTTCATTTATTTTATTTATTTTTTCTTTTTTTAGGGTTTAGGGTTTAGGG